GAGCTTTTCCTTTGTATCCCATGGGCACATCCAGGACACGTGGAATTCGTCAGGATGTCTGTTTTCTCCCGCAGAGTACTCTTTCCTGTCCTTGGAACCTGTCTCTTACCTTGAATAACCCGTCAGTTACGACCATGGAGGGCGCTGACTGTGGCTGCAGCTTTGCCTGGCTGACGCCTCGGGCAGCAGCTAGTCCTCCCCCTGATGACAGGGTGTGTGGCTCATGCCTTCATTGCTCCAGATTGCCCGTACTGCGTATTTTCCTCTCATTTCTTCGTGACGAACCTGTTCTATGGCAGAGCAAAAGGGCTGAAGCTGGCATGGAAGAAACCGGCCCAGTGTCACACAGAGCAGGCGAGAGCCAGGGTCTCTTCACCCAGCACGGGAGAGACGTGGCCAGCACAGCTCAACTATTCCTAGTCTGAAAATCCAGAATCCCAGATCCAGAACTGACTGAGCACTGGCATTATGCCACAAGTAGAAAATTCCACACCTGACCTCAGTGACAGGTTGCAGTCAGAGTTTTGTTTGATGTCCCAAAGTATTTAAAATACTGTACAAAATTACCTTTGGGTTATATGTATAAAGTATATATGAGACAGAAATCAAATTCATATTTAGACTTGGGTCCTGTCCCCAGGATATCTTTTTATGTATATGCAAATAGTCCAAAAATCCAAAATTTGAAACACTTCTAGTTCCAAGCCTTTTGGATAACGGATACTTGTATCACATGGATGAAGTGAGAGTGAAGATTTTAACCATAATTTTCTGAATTCATATTAAGTGCTCTTTCTAGGACACAAAAATGCCTGCTTTTATAACACAATAGTGGCAGGAACCATTCTCTGGAAATTTACCTGGTTTAACAAATCTCTCAGTGGCTAGGCTCAGGTTTGTCTTGTTAACGCACCTTAATGGGTCATCTGCTGACTCGGAGAGCCCACAGGAGAAATTCCAGCCCTGGGGGTAACAGCAGTGAGAAAAGATGTCTTCAAAGATTTCAGCAGCCCTGCTGCTTTCCTTACACAAAACCCAAGCTGGGTCTTCTTGGGTTTTTTGTGTGAAACTGTAGAAACGGGCCACACCCCTCTTGAGCATCCCAGGTGTAGAAGGGGCTGAATTAAAAGCCTTATAAAAATTTCAAGCAGGAATTAGTAGGAAGCCTAATGTCAGAATTGTTTCTCCAGAGAAACCTCTCTGTGGGAAGCTAGACAGTATTTTGTCTATTCAAATTGGAGTACCCCTGGAATGAAAATGGGCCTTGCCCAGAATATCAAAGCCACAGTATAGTCACAGTGCATCTCCAGGAAGGCTGTTTACTCAAGGAGTTAGGAGCAGAAATATGTTCACATTAAAGCCAACATATACGTATTACAGAGTGGAATGCAGAGTTTGGTTGCATAAAAATAGTTGCCCTGAAAGAACTTCAAGTTGATGTCATAGGCCACTTGGAGCCACGCTGTCCTACCTGGGGATCACTCCGTTTAGTGTCTGCCACAAGGGCATTTCAGCAGCTGAGCTCTGGGTCTTACAACTTGTAATAAAATGGTCGTTTTACTTCAGCCTTAAGGAGCGTGTGGGCTGTGCTACAGGAATGGAGCTAACACTTTCAGAGTACCACGCGCTGTCGTGAATGGTTTTTCTGCTGTCGTTTAAGACATTCTGCCGCTCTGAGAGAGGACTTCGCTTTCCTCCTGAGGAAATCGGGTTCGTAAGACAGAGACTTTTGCTTGGTCTAAAAACCAGGTGTTAGGGTACCAAAGGCACCCAAACCTTCTGATTCAGTCTTTTAATTTGTAATAAATGATATAATCAGGAGTTTTCTTCATGTTTTTGTCCTTAAAATTTTTTTAGGGTAGACATTTTTAACGGGAGGGAGGATGCACAGAAAAAGTCTGTAGAGAAAAGGGCTTGAACAGTCGTGTTTTCAGTGATTTGTTAACAGGTAAAGGGTATTATAACCCTATTTTATGTTCAGATACAAGTTTCATTTTCATGATACAAAATTAGAAGTACAAAGAAAGACCTGAACGTGTGTGTGTGTGTGTGTGTGTATCCTGAGAAAATGAAAACACTTGTTTTGGGGAATGTCGACTACCCGTATAGCAGAACCTTGGTTCAGGCTTGCTGTATACTGACTCTTTGGTTCAGGCTTGCTGTATACTGACTCTTTGGTTCAGGCTTGCTGTATACTGACTCTTTGGTTCAGGCTTGCTGTATACTGACTCTGAAATCCCAGCATAGTTCTTGATTTAGAATAACTTTTAGTCTGCATGGTCTTGATTCATCAGGTAATAGTTATTTTTTTAATCTATTCTGCTCTCCCCTCAAATATCACTTCCTGTATCTTTTCATTCTTTTAATCAAAGTGCTAATGTAATAGGCAGTTTGCATTGGATTGCAGGGTGATTAAGTTTGTAATTTAAGTTCAAACATCCTTTAACTGTTACTGAATGTCAGTAATCCATACAATTCAATATATTGTTTTAAACTATTATTTTGAGTAAATTAAGAGATTCTCATTTTTTTCATTTAATCCTTTGTGAATAGTGGGAGTAAAGCAGCATAGCTTTAAAGAGCAAAACAATTTATGTTTTAGAAATGGAAATAGATGAATTAGCCAGAGAGTGGAAAGAAACTGCCTTGATTACACTGGTGCTGGTTAATTTGCTTCCTTTACGAATAGTAACTAATGAGCTGAATGCAAGGAGAGGCTCCTCGCTTACTACCTTCCAGATTTGGAAGAATCGAGGTTTTTAAGAAGAAAGTGCCTGTTTATAGATTTATAAGGGAGCATCTGTACTTACAATTATGAAAATGATCATCGTTCTGAATTCTTACAGTATGCTTCTATTTAAAAGAAATGCTTGGCTCTATCATTGTGTAACACTTTCTTGCTCAGCACTTACTTTTAATTAGATCTGGAAAATATTAACATGAATTAGTCTGTGCTTTGTTGGAAAGGAAAAGACCCATGTTATATTAATGCAATTTTACATTCCACCCTTAATTACTTTTCTTTAGAATATTTAGTACTGTCACGTGCTTTATTTTCCCATTTTTGTTTCTCATCACTCCTGACCCCTGAAGTTCTTGCTGAGTGTTTCCGTCCTTTGCTGTGGCCTCGTGGGCAGGAAGCCCACGGGGAGCTGCGTCTGGTTCTCAGGGGTGAGGCATCCCTGACTGCTTCCTTCCAGATTCTTAGTGGCATCCGCTCCTGCCATAAACACCCTCAAAGCTAGTAATCCTAACATCCTTCTGGGGCAAGTGTCCCCAAACTTTTTACACAGGGGACCGGTTCACTGTCCCTCAGACCGTTGGAGGGCCGCCACATACTGTGCTCCTCTCCCTGACCACCAGTGAAAGAGGTGCCCCTTCCTGAAGTGTGGCAGGGCAGGGCGGGCGGGGGGGCGGGGGTTGGGGGGGAATAAATGGCCTCAGGGGGCCACGTGTGGGCTGTAGTTTGGGGACGCCTGCTCTGGGGTATGAGTAGGTTGTCTTAAAGAGACAGTTCAATTTGTCTCTTGGAGAAGGCAATTTTATTTTTTTCTAAGATGTTTTATTATTGTTTATTGGCATGAAAAAGCCTAATATCACAGGTTAATTTATTCTTTCTCACCAGATACAGTTTTTTCTTCACAGAAATCAAGGGAGAGTGAAGTTGTTAGATTTTTATTTTAGTAAAAGTACATATAAACACAATTCAAATCCCAGAAGTTAGCATTCTTACATTTCTGCTACAATTTATAGACAAACTGGTAATTCTGCAGAAATTGAAACACATAGAAATTTTATTTAGGGGATTCCTGCAGAGGTTAGAGATTGAACTAGATTAAACCAGATGGCTTTAAGTTTCATTTTGATCCTAGAAATATTGATTCATTATGTATGATAATACAGCTGTGAGTGTTCCTGTGGTCCGGGTCTATGCCAGATCAGAAGGAAATGGAGACCACAGTTTTCAAAGTTACCATTATCTTAGACCAGAACAGCAGAAAAGCTGTGTATCCAAGTCAGAAAGGGAGCGTCTCGCTGCTCCGCACTGGTTGTTAGTCCAAGGCTTTTCTGTGGAAGAGGTATTTCCAACCTGCAGTGCACAGAGATGTGAGCAGAAGGATAAAGGAACTAAAAAAGAAGAAACTCAGGTATTTAAGACATCCTTAACTAGATGAGTGATATGAAGGAAAGGCGTTTTTTGTGTGTGTGTTGTTACAAAAAGGCAGAACTTGAATGACCAAAAAGAAAAGCAATTAATAAATCGTTAACATAAGAAGTTCTTGACTAGTGGTTACCTGAAAACAGAATGGATTGAATTGACTTAGAGTCAACATTAGGTCCACACGGAAGAGAGCTGAGTAGGGCTCCTTCCCGTCTGTCTCAGAGTCCATGGTGCAGAGTTTAGGTTACTCCTGAGTCAGGAGGGAATTCTTGAAGGCCAAGGTGGGATGTGGAGGGAGCTGATGGCAAAGAGCAGAGGAGAGAGGGTGGCAGGCCTTAGTCCCTGGAAAAGATGGATGACTGCCTGACCCACTAGAGTCACATGGGCTGCTTCTGGTCCTACCCACAGAGAGACGAGTGGGGGCCTCCGTCTTCTGCAGGACATTCATAGTGGGAATTAAATAAAACGGGGATGAGAGGAGAAGGTGTGTAAGTGTGTTCTGCAGTCCATCAAGTGGGGTCTGTCTGTTTGAGCCTATTAATTTACGTGAATACATTAACTAAATTTGTTCTAGTAAAGGAATTGTGCTTGTTGAAAGTGTAAATGTATATGATAACTCTGGGATTTGTGGAAACAGTGTTTAGGTAGTTTATTTTAAAATCGTAGAGCTAGAAATAAAGTTTTATCTTCCAACAGTGATTTTAAGCTGGTATTTTCTATTTAACCTTCCGTGTGTGTGTGTATGTGTTTGTGTGTGTCTACTTGTCTTCATGTGAGCATTTTATGTCTTGTGTTGGTGGAGCTTGTGGAGGGAAAGTTAACGTCAGTCTGTTGTTAGTTGCAGGACGAGGAGCGGAGGCGACAGCAGCAGTTAGAAGAGATGCGTAAACGCGAAGCCGAAGACCGAGCGAGACAGGAGGAGGAGCGCCATCGGCAGGAGGAGGAGCGAACAAAACGAGACGCTGAAGAAAAGGTTATGGTCCTCTAAGGGCAGCTAGAATGTTACCAAGTTAGCCTGAACGTAATCGATTGGCTGGGGCAGAGCGGGCTGGAAGTTCTGTGTGTCTTAAGATGCACAAGGCAGAGCAGGGCCTGGCTCCCCAGCTTTTGTGATTGGACCAGCAACTCTACCCCGTCTGGCCCACCTACCTCTCTTCTGGACTGTCTCCAGATCCCTTTCTCTACCGAGCTTTGTCTCCCTCAGACTTCTGAACTCTTGGGTGTGTGTAGCAGTGAGCCTCTTTGCAAAGGGTTCGTTTCCTTGGGCACTCATCTTTACTGGACATGGCCGAGCTTGTCATTGTGAAGGTGACATTTGTTCAGTGATTGTTTAAATGGCATGTGCACCATGGGAAGCAGTAGGAACATAGTCAGACAGTCGGCCGCTATACAGCATTTCAAATAGATGGTTTACTCAGATCACTCCCTTCTGGTTGATGGTAAAGAGAGCAGATGGCTTAGAAAACATGATACAGGAGGATGTAGTATGTAATCCACTATATATTCTGAGTTATTTATTTTCATGTGTGTGTGTGTTTTTAAGTCGAGTACTGCTTTTAATTGAATTTTAAAATGACAGCGAATTTTGACATTCTGAGAAATGGGGACTTGGAAATGTTGCTCTCCAGATCACCCTTGGTCCTGTGTGTGTGGCCGACGCCCTCTTGATAAAGAGGCAATAGCCATTGAGCTCCCCGTGAGGGCCTATCTCATCCCGAGGGGACTGTGTGTTGCTCTGTGTGGTTTGAGAGAAGCTGTTCTTCTCTGTTACTTCCCTTCTATGAAGGTAGAAGCTTTCAGTGTTACAACTTCTGATGGGGGGAAAATTTAGTTTTTATTAATAATTCCTTCTTTGATAGTCTAGTGAACTACATTAATAGAACAGTGTACTGTTCACAGAAAAGAACTTGTAGGGAGTTTTTTGTAGTGATACGATCTTTTAGGATACAGAACAGTCTAAGAGTAAGCTTGGTAGATACGATGCGATTCACTTAAATGGAGTAGAGTGAGTAATGTAAGGACACACACCTGGATTCAAATTAGTGATTTCTGCATTTTGTAGACCTTTGCCCTTCAAGTTTATCATCATATTATCTGTTGAGTCTGAACAGCATTTGAAATCCTCTCAAAGAGTTTGAGCTTTCAGGATTAGGTTTCCCTATGAGTCTTTCACTTGTGTAATGGTAAGTCAAACTTGATAATCTTTTAAGGAAATCAGATTTCTAAAATGCTGAGCTGCTTGATGTGTAAGTGTTGATGGTGTTTACTGTTGCTTTGCTGTTCCGTGACAGCCTCCCGGGCTGCCTGGAGGGCTTTGCTTTTCCAGGGCAGTGCCACCTTGACTGTCCCAGGCCCCGCATGGTGCCCATCGCTATAGGTGGGCCCAGTCCTGGCCATGCTGGGCCTCAGCAGGGCCAGTCGGGTTGTCACGGCAGTGCAGTCGGCATGCAGAGAGGACCAGGCCATGTTTTTCCTATGTGGAGAAACGGGTTATTTAATCTTTCCAGCGTGTTTTTATAACTCATGCTTATGTCAAATACTCTTGATTTAGTAACTGCTTCTGTAACTAAGTGGTCACTGTAAAAAGAAGGCGAGTAACCTATTTTTGTATCAGAATGTCCAAAACTGATAGGTTTGGTTTGTTTAGAAAAATGTGCCATTCATGCATTTGTTTGGTAGAATAAAGTCATCTTGTAATTGTATCTGCTCTTGGTATAACTGAAAGAGGATGTTTTGATTTCTCCCTAAAATGTTATCAAGCAACTGTTCTTCATGTTAATACTAAGATTCTTGATGCTTGCATTTAAAAGCCACAAGAAGTTATTCTGGTTTGATTCCTCCAAGGGAACACTTACTTTGTGTAGACAAGAAGATAAGAGTCTTTCCTTCAGGATTCTTAAACATAGAGCAAGAAGATACAATGAGAAGTTGGGCTCAGGGCAGTAATTGGGGTTGGCATTTATTCTTAAGAGTTTTCTCCCTCAAAAGGTGAAGCAGTGACACTGCGTGTTCACTGTGTGCGTGCGTGCGTGCGCGTGCGTGTGTGCGTGCGCTTGCGTGTGTGTGTGTGCGCGCGTGCGTGCGTGTGTGCGCGTGCGCATGTGTGTGTGTGTAGAACTCTGGAGGGAGTAGGGCAAAAATACAGCATGAAATTGAAAATAGGGACTAACAACTTTTAACTGAATGCCAGCAAGGTCTCTAAAATTAGTTTTCTTTGGTTGAATGAGTTTAAAATTCATTGTACTTCATTTCACCGCATTGAACATTTACTCAAGGCAGTTTATTCTGTTTGATCTTTCACCCCCCTCTGATTTACTTTTTTCTTGTGCTCTAAAACTTTTGTCAATCCTTTAACAAAACTGTGCTGTTACTTTTTTTAATGTTAAAAGAATCTTAACACTGTCAACTGTAGCTTGTTCAGATGTATGTCAGAAAAAAATGTACAGTATGTGTCAAAATATATTTGAATATCTTGTTGCTGTTGCTGTTAATGCTTGGCTCTCTGTTTTCTGTGTGTTAGGGAGTTTATTGGGATTTGAAATATAAGTTAAGAACTGTGGAAATCATATTTTTTAAGATTGTTGCTTTGGGAAAATGAGTGTTTTTTTTTTTGTTTTTTTTTTTTCATTTACGGTTTCCGGTTGATTTCCTTCCTAATAACTGGAAGTAAACAGGGTGGTTGTATCGCATCCTCCTTGTCCAGGAAGGACTGCTCTTCTGCATTCACAAGGCTCAGTGAAAAAGTGTTAAAGGTTGCCTTTCAGAAAGTGCTGGCCATAGGAAGCCAGTGACAGTCTGTTATTAGTTTTGCATTACCTTTAAACACAGCAGTAACAGGTAAGTTAATATCCTCCCAGAAACAGAAGAGGAGAGAGAGAAGGAAGTAGCAGGAGCGCGGAGGAAGGAAAGCAGAGGAGAATTAAGTCCACGGGGATAATGGAGAGGCAGCAGTGACTGGGAAGCAGGAGCCTGAGAGGTCATCCATGCTGTGCTTTTGAGCAGTTTTCTGTCCAATAATCCAGAATAGTATGAATGTACTTGTAAGTCTGGGGAGAAGACTCTCTGGATGGACCTGCTGCTTTTGTCATAGTAATTGTGACTATTAAACTTTGACGTCAGTATGGTGATGAGGACTGTTCCCTGTGAAGGCCCAGTGGGTCAGCTGTTGCCTTCTGACCTCTGACCTTTACACTCTTGTCTATTCTCGCCCGCAGAGGCGACAGGAAGAAGGGTATTACAGCCGCCTGGAAGCTGAGAGGCGCAGACAGCACGACGAGGCGGCACGCAGGTTGCTGGAGCCCGAGGCGCCCGGTCTGTGCCGCCCTCCGCTTCCCCAGGACTACGAGCCCCCATCCCCGTCCCCCACGCCCGGCGCCCCTCCCCCGCCTCAGCGAAACGCCTCCTACCTCAAAACACAGGTCCTCTCCCCTGACTCGCTGTTCACTGCCAAGTTTGTTGCGTACAATGAGGAGGAGGAGGAGGAGGACAGCGGCCTAGCAGGTCAGGATGAGTACTCCAGCACAAGAAGGTTTCATGGGGACCTTCTTCCTGGCCCTCTTAAGCCACGCCCGGCCTCCGATGGCATCTTCCTCTCCAACTCATTCCAGCCACCCTCAGCCAAAGCCAACAGTACTGCACACAAAAAAGACCAGCCCCCGCCCCCTCCAAAAAAATCCAGCTTCTGCCATCCCAGCCACTGCAAAGGTAGAGGTAAAAGAGTGACAAATCAGCCTTCTTTGTCTTAATGATTGGCATCTCTGCACACTTGCCCTGTACTATGGTCCATGACGATCGTACTTGCTTTGAAATTTGAATGTCACATGATCACTGGTCTCAGCATGGTGATCTTCCTCTGCCTCTGATTGTCATGTCTGTGCTGATACTTTTCAGTAGATGTCTTAGTACTTTGATTTCTTCTACACTTGAAAAATCTCCGTTTCTTTGATCAGCTGACAATCAGTCCTCCTCTTGTTCCCAAATAATCTGAAGTACTGTTGGTCTTGGCTTCCTCTTTCTGCCTCTGCAAATGATCTTACATTTGTTTGAATAAGTGCCTTTTCACATATTTTAGTGTCTCTGAAGACAAAGTGTTACAATCACATTGTAAGTGTTCCTTATTGAATGTGGGTAGAACTTTCTGTTCTGGGTTAAGTAGCCTATGAAGTAAATCATACACTCTGATGGTGGTTTGGTTGGTGTGGTTGGAGCATCTGCTAGGCGAGTTAACTTAGCTTTGTGACCTCAGTGCAGGCTGCCTCACACCAGGGCAGAGGCCCCAGTCAGAGTGAAATTCCTCTCATTCATTTCTCATCTAACTGGCTTCACTCCTTCCTGTTACCTGCACTCTTAGCACCAAGTAACACCATCAGCCAGACCTTAGCAGGCATGCAGCTGCCATTAGCTAACCCACCCCCCTAAGCTGACTGTAGAGCGGGACAGCTCTGTGGCGACAGTATCTAGAGGCTGTCACGGGACAGCTCTGCAGGGACAGTGTCTAGAGACTGTCATGGCTCTGTGGGGGACAGTGTCTAGAGGCTGTCACAGGACATTTCTGCAGGGGAGAGTGTCTAGAGGCTGTCACGGGACAGCTCTGCAGGAATGGTGTCTAGAGGCTGTCACGGGACAGTTCTGCAGGGGACAGAGTCTGGAGGTTATCACGGGACAGCTCTGCGGGGACGGTGTCTAGAGCTGACAGCCTCTATGGGGATGGTGTCTAGAGGGTGTCATGGGACGGTTTTGCAGGGGACAGTGTCTAGAGGCTGTCACAGGCACACATTCAGTAGTCAGGGTGTTCAAGACAGCATGTTTAAAATACAACTGAATTTATAAGGATTCAGATTTCACACTAATCTTACCTTTAATGAAACTGAAATTCTGGCACTAAACATCTTCAGATACAGGAGTGTTACTTTTAATGAGTGTATCAGAGTCTTCCAAATCCTGCATCATTCTGCATAAACAGTGCATGGTACTCGACAATTCTGAAAAAAGAATATTCTAAATCTTGATGTAACCGTCACTCAAATAACAGATGAGTTTTGCCAGAATTCTGTCTTCCTCCCTACCCCAATCAGAACTTTGATCTGCTTTGAAGGTTTAATAGTTAGGTGGAGTCACTTTAGAAGCCAGAATTAAATCTTTTTATGAAATTCAGTTGTAAATATCTATAATTCACCTTTTAGAGAAATTTATGGAATAATAGTAAATTTTGAAGCAGAATGCCATCAGTCTCCTTGTATTGAATTGTATAAACTGAACTTAGAGATATTTCTAAGTGTCATGACAGAAACCGTGGGGTTTGGTAGCCAAGTATTACAGTGAGGTGTCACTGCTCACCATCTTGGCTCTCGGTCCTACCACTAACCCTTATTTTACTTCACACGTGAAGTACCACACAGGACCAGGTCATAGCCTACATCCGTTTGCTCCGCCTCTTTGAAGACTTCTTCGTAATATACAGAGCCATCTGCACCCTGTGCGGGGCACATTCTGACCTTGCCTTCTCATTTTGCTAGCATGTCTCATTCCTTGCTCAGCTCTGCTTCTGTCGGGAGCACTCAGTAAAGCATGCTTCTGCAGATGGACTTGGCTTCTTCCACTGGGCAGTGAGAGGAACAGCATTAGGGAGTGAATTGGAATGAGTAATAACAGATTTGCACATAACGCCATTTGAAAGATTCACCACTAAAGCTCTTTGAAAATGATCAGTGATACGGAGTATTCATAGATAGTCAGCTGAAGGTGTTTGATACTCTTAAGTCTAAAAGTTCTGAAAATTTTGAAGAATTAATTTTACCAGTGGGAAAAGCCAGTATCATTATTAAAAGAAAGCTCAAAAGATACAACGTAATGTTTTTTTTTTAAAAGATAAAAAATTTGGAATTAAAATGGAAAAATTACTCTATGCAGCAGTTTATCTAAAGGCCCACTGTAGATTGTCACAAGATAGAATGTGTTTTTGTTGAGTCTTTTGAGTCTTTGTTGAGGTGGTGGGAAGCCTGAGAAAGGGGCAGTGCGAAGAGGCACCTTCAAAGGCAGCTCTGCCCGTCTGCAGTCTGCAGATGAGCTCTGCACAGCAGGCCGTTTTATATATGAAGGGAAACAAAAATGCATTTTTGTGCAAGTTGCTTGAAAAAGAATTTTAATGTGAAAAAATTGCACTGTTGTGGCCTGTTTAATCCAGTATTCGTTGCTGTCAGTGTTTGCTGAATAGTTTGAGCATTTATTACTCCAGCCTGTATTCCACCGTAAGCAGATTTTTCAAGTGTGAATTTTTCTAATGCTGCAATTAATAGAAATACATTAATACCAATTCACTACGTTATGATTTTAATATGACATTTATTATTACTTGGATACACTTAGTGATATTACTTGGATACATGTAACACTTGTCTGCATCACGTCTTTTGATCCTCAACAAACCACTGAGGTCAGTGGGAACGGCGCAGATGCTGCCGGTTGGTTGGTGTTACACCAGCTCAGAGGCAGAGCTGGGCCGTGAGCAGTGTTCCTGTCTAATGATGAAGGGCATGAGGTCCGTGTTTTAGCACCTTTTGAGAGTAGTCATTGGGTTACTCAGGCCACCGATAGAGAAGAATTTCAAATTGATGAAACTTCGATAGAATATAAAGGGTCTTTTACCATCCTACTTAATCAGTAGAGGTATTTTTTATTCTCTGAGCACTGCGTCTTTATCATGAGTAAAGCTTGAAAATAATCAGGTACTGTAACTTGTATTGTTTCTTTCACGGAAAAGGACCAAACTCGTACCCAGGATCTACTGGGGCAGCTGTTGGAACCCATGAGGCGTATCGGGATGCAAGAGAGAAGCGCCCAAAAAGGTGTGCACCGTTGTGCTAGACAGGGCCCCTGTGTGTACCTGATGACCCACCCTTCTTCACAGCACTTTCCAGTTATATCAGCAGATTTCGTGGCTTCGCTCTATGCCCCAGCTGTTCTTAAAACATGGAATTTGAACTACTCAGAAAAACCATCAGTACCATTCTATCGCTTATTATTAAATTTGATATATTTAGAGATGCCTCTCAAGTACATGCAAGATTCCTTAAAATGCTGTATTTTTCAGCTGTACCCCTCAGGTGACTCTTGTTTAACTGGTAAGAATTGCCTGCCTCCTAAAATCCAACTTGCAGGTTTTTCGAGAGTTGAATATGGTTGCGGAAAGTGAATGTTTTAGTAAAGAGAACATGTTGCCCTTCTTTTCTAGATGGCTTTAAATACAACCCCTGTAATTGCAGTGACAGGAAAGGTTATCACACAATTTAACAAAGAATGAGTCTGAAAATTGTAATCGCCATTGTGCAAATGTGTGTAATTGTTGGCAGGTTGTTTGTAGTGTGTCCAGTAATCTTTTGTGTTGCCCTCTTATGCAGCCAAGATGCAGATGTCCCTGGAAGTTCTGGAGCCCCCGAAAACTTGACATTCAAGGAACGCCAGCGTCTTTTTTCACAAGGTCAAGATGTATCCAATAAAGTGAAAGCTTCTCGTAAATTAACAGAACTGGAGAATGAACTGAACACAAAGTGAAAAACAAATGAGGAGGACACCTTGTCTTTACCCAAAATCTTCTCAGCTGTGGGTGTGTAGGTGTGAATCTAAGAGGAAAGGGGAGGGGGGTTATATTTCTAAGTGATTTATCATTTCTGTTTCTACAATTGTTGGGATTTAGAAATGTTTTAATTCCAAGAAATTTTATTTTACTTTATCATGAGGTTGCCATTTATGTAATTTAAACACTTGTCTAATACCTTAATTATCTAACTCACATGAAGATAAGTTTTTTGTTGGTTTCTTTTTTGGAGTCTTGAGTTCAAAGGGGTCAGCACTAAGGGCAGGAGGGAGAATGGGTGTGTCTTCGTCCCATCTTCCCTCCGTCATCCCCCTGAGGAGCACAGAGAAATTCTGTTTCTGTTCTTCCAGAAACTTCATTCTTGCTGTCAAGCAGACAATAGCTTGAACTCTTCTGACTCTGGTTGGCTCTGTTTAGTAGTGACCACACACTCTTCTGCCCAAGAAACAACATATGACGACATGCTCCTCTCATGTCCCCTGACCCTGATCGTTCTATTCTGCATCGTGAAACGGTTTAGGCCAAAGCTTCCTGTGCAGTGATGCACACCCAAGACTTCCATCTCATTCCTCGCAAATCTGAGCTCTCATCAATTCTAAATATTTGATAATTTTTAATTCCGAATGAAGAAAATTTTGAGGATTTAAGCTTAGGGGATTTTATTTTTATAAATACCAGATTATTGTTAGACTTAATAAATCACTGGTGAATTTGAAGATGACAGTTACATTAGAAAGTTAATGCTTCAGCTCTGCCAAGCCGTCTGTAAAGTCTCATTTGAGCAATGTTCATGTGACTGGGAATGGCAGAGAATGGGAGGTGAGGAGGGACCCTCAAGCACAGCTGTCACTGAGAATATTACATTTGAAGAAGAAATAGGTTTTTCAGCTGTATACCATCAGGAAAAGGAAGGAATTCAACCACAGGGCATCTGTAACTTAAATATTGTAAGAATAACTCATATGGAAGTTTGAACTATTTTTTTACACTATAATAGAGTTATTTAATTTTAATTTGTTGAATTATTAGTTACCACTGTCATTTCTTCAGCTATAGATATGTGGCTGATGTTGGGGAGACGGACCTCAGTGTGTTTTATGTTGTCTGGTGTTAAGATAATAAATTACTTTGTGATTACAAGCAAATTTTTTATTCGACAAAGCCCTCAGTGGGGTCCAGATGATTTTTCTGTACCATATTGTTCTCTTACACATAAATATGTTAGGGAAAAACGCACACTTTCAAAAAGAAACATAGGGGCTTTTACTGCCTTAGAAATCACTTTTAATAAGAGTTGTATGATAAATCATTAAAATGCGAGTGTAAATATTTTTTTATGTCTATCAGGGTTCTCATTTGAAAGTGTGCTCTTACTGTTTCCTTGTTTGAGTAAGAGAGTGAAATGGTTCTGGGTGTTTCGGAGGGACTTGCTTGCTTGTGGCAGAAGTTCTAGGAAAAGCAGGCGCCTCCCAAATACCTTGAGAACACTGGCGGCCTTAGGTGACTAAATCCACACTTTCTTAAAAGAGATGCAGATGAATTACTTTTCTGTTAATATATAGAGAAATACACATGACGACATGCAAATATGTGTAAATATCTACATACAGGGATATTTCTATGTGTGGTTGTAAAACCCATCAACAAGTGGATTTGGCCATCTTTGGGCAATTAGGTCAAATGTGAATATGTATAAAAGTGCTTTTCCTAACTGCATTACTATGGAGAAAACACCCACACTGCTGTAGTTTCCACTTCTGCTGTATTTCAGTTGCAATCTATTTTTAATAAACTTGGTATGTATTTAAGTGTATTTGCTATTGTTTTGAAAGTGCTGACGAAGTTTATATTTGTAACATCAGCCTTCCTCGCCTGTCACTTTCCATCTGTCTACTGACATTAAACACTTACTGAATATGACTTCCATGTCAGGTAGTGTTTTTAATTTGTGGGGAAGTGAAGTGTTCTTTTTTTAAAAAATATATATTTTTTTTTTTTTAATTTTTTTCTTTTTTTATAGAGACCGAGTTTCACCATGTTGGTCAGGCTGGTCTCGAACTCCTGACTTCAGGTGATCTACCCACCTGGGCCTTCCAAAGTGCTGGGATTACAGGCGTGAGCCACTGCGCCCAGCCATTGTGGGGAGTGTTCTGTGCCTCGTCACACAGCTCACAGGTGGCGGTCTGAGTCTCATGAGCCGTCCAGGTGCCCAGGCCTATCCAAGCCATTTCTTAGCAACGCTGTCTCTTTGCGGCCTCTTTGAAATTCCTAAAATATCCCTAGTAATAAGTAAATGGTGTACATGAGCCATCCTGGTGAGATGTGTCTTAGTGCAAGAACTCACTTGGGTTAGCCTCATGTAAAAGTCGCTTATGAGGCCCTGGGAGCTGCAGGAGACCCGAGCACGTGCGGGCGGGATCTTCAGTCTGGACAGGCTCGGTGCTGCCTCTGCACCATTGTTCCTTCCGCCTCTGCCTGTTTCCAGTGTACCTTCCAATGACCTGTGAGCAGGAGGACTGGGCTGGGACGGGGATGGAGAGTTGGTAGGGCTTTCATGGGGGGGAGGGGGCCGGGCAGTTGTTGGTCGAGGGGTGCAGAGTTTCAGAAGGAGGAACAGGTTTTGAGAGCTGTGTGCTGCACAGCAGGGTGACTAGTCCATGTATTACAGAAATACAGACTTTGAGGAAGGAAGGAGTATCTTAGAGCATAGAAACTTGTGGAGACCTTTTTGATAGAACGAGATATTTATGTATTGGAACTACGGTATTCAATTTTACTGTATTTTAATGCTTAAAAAAGTAAAGTTTGGAGTGACAAAAACTTAGTCTGAGTATGAATACAGATGCAGTTTCTTCTAAGGCCCGTGTTTCTGTTGCTGTTACAGAAATGGTGGCACTGCCCTACTGTGGCCTGTCATGTGGACCAGCAAGCACTTGATGATTTTCTGGTGTGCACCGTTGGACACAACTTCCTCTCTCCTTTATTGCCTGGAAAACTGATTTCAAAGATTTAGTTACGTTTAGTAAACATTAAGCAAAATTTAATTTGACTTACAGGAGGGAAAGGGTGTACAAAAAGTGATCGTTTTATTTCCAGTATTTCATCCAGTTTATTCCAAAAATCACATACCCTCAAAAGACACATCCAGACTTGAGACTGGGAATCGAAGCCAGTTTCTTGTGTAATTCAGCAAGTGTTGATGGGAGCTTCCGGTTCCTCCTCTGCCTGGGGACTGGCCTCAGCGCTTAGCACTGTCCTGAAACCTTGGTCTTGTCTCTGCCGTCAGGGAGCACCATTCCAGCAGGCAGAAGCACGTGTTACTGTTAACTGTAAAGTGCAGGGATGCCCGGAGGTCTAATGAAGTTCCTGTGGAGATGGTGGGCTGTTCTGAGAAAACGATGCTCTTGAGAAGCCCTGCAGACGGCAGCAGAAGCTGAGCCAGGCAAGCCGGAGGCTCTGGAAGACCGGGGAGCCCAGAACTGGAGCCCCAGGAGGGGCGGGTGCAGACGGGGGCTGGAGAGAGGCAGGGGCCACCTGGTGCTACCCGGTGGTTAAAGAGGGCATTTTCTAAAACCATGGCAGGAAGTGTGTTTTTCCCATAGTGGAAAGCCTCTGCAGGGTTTTGAAGAAGGGGTGGGGGCCCCCAGTTGACTTCGGTGGTTTTGGTTGCCAGAATGGGAGGGGAAAGAATGGAAGCTTGGCGGAGGCTTCTGCAGGAGTTGGAGGGTTTGAGGAGCCAGGTGGCGGTACGGCCACCCAGGTGAGAGGGCGAGGAGGCATGGGCTAGGGGAGCGGGCGCCACAGGTAAGGCCTCGAGCTGTTTGCATGGTTACAGAGATGCCAAAGAACGGGAGGAAAGACGACAAAACTCAACCTTGCTTCAAACAAATCGGTAACCATGGCTTTCAGATTGAAAACGCACATGGCTTCAGGGGATCAGAGCTTGTTTTTCTCTGCTCTTCTAAATCTTAACATTTTATCCTTTTATAGACACTACGGGTTTAAATGAATGTTAAATTGGAGATAGTGGTTCCAACTTCAACTTGAAACTTTTAAAAATAATATAAAATACTAAGTAATCTAACCCCAGAGAGAGACCTGGGAAACTCTAGGTTAATTGTATGGGAAACTCTAGGTTAATTGTGTGGCTTTAAAAAGGTTCCACCTTCCTCCCTTCAGCTTTTTTTGTATGAGAATAGATCCTAAAATACAAAAGCGGCGTAGCTCAGTTGAGCAAGGTACAACATACCATGTTCTGAACATGCAAAGCACAGCCAGGGAGTCTCGGGACTTTGGGTTTGTCTGATCTCTATAACTGCCACTACCTAAATATTGGAAAATCACTAACATTGATGCAGACTGTTCAGAGCCCTCTAAGTCTTGGTGGACAGAGTGGCTTACTGAAATTAAGTAGCTTCTCCCTGAGATGTGAGATATTTATTGTTCTTTCTTTGCAGTTAATATGTCACCCAATGCCGACTAGGTGCTCATAGGTATTTGTCGGGTAAATTACACAAGATACTGGCTTCTGTTCCCAATCTGAAGTCTAACATGTATCTTTGGGAGTTATGTGACTTTTTGAGATAAACTAGATGAAATCATGGAATTAAAAGTTCACTTGTTGCATATACTTCAATTTAAAGTCATTCAGTTTACATCTTGCTTAATATTACTAAATACAGCTTTCTGAAGCTAGCTTTCCATGCAAGGAAGAGGAATGCTGTCTTCAGTACAGCAGGAGGACTGCTCACAGAGAGCTGGATGCTGCAGTCTGTAAATGATTTCGTCAGATCTCTCTCAATAATTCTTGTAGCAAGACAAGAAAAGGGATTAGTGAAATACAAACAAAAATAGGAAATGAAGACAAAGGGGGGAGTGCAGAGGTGAGGACCACACAGGATGACTGCATTGCAAGGGCGTGCTGTGCGGGAATGAAGCCTTGGCACCGAGACGGCTTCCATGACGCAAGAGGCTTCCGGGGTGGCGGCGGGGCGGCTCAGCCTCAAGCGCTAAGAGAAGTTTCTCATGCAGCACTGGATATGGGCCATCCTGAATAGTCTTTGCTCCTGAGGGGGAGGCAGTGGGGGTCATTTCCCTGCAGTGTGGGGGAGGGACGGCAGTGGGAGTCATTTCCTTGCAGTGTGGGGGAGGGGGAGACAGGATCATTTCCCTGCAGTGTGGGAGGGGGGAGGCAGTGGGGGTCATTTCTCTGCAGTGTGGGGGAGGGGATGCAGTGGGGGGTAGTTTCCCTGCCGTGTGGGGGAGGGGAGGCAGTGGGGGGTCGTTTCCCTGCCGTGTGGGGGAGGGGAGGCAGTGGGGGTCATTTCCCTGCAGTGTAGGGGAGGGGGAGACAGGATCATTTCCCTGCAGTGTGGGAGGGGGGAGGCAGTGGGGGTCATTTCTCTGCAGTGTGGGGGAGGGGGAGGCAATGGGGGTCATTTCTCTGCAGTGTGGGGGAGGGGGAGGCAGTGGGGGTCATTTCCCTGCAGTGTGGGAGGGGGGAGGCAGTGGGGGTCATTTCTCTGCAGTGTGGGGGAGGGGGAGGCAGTGGGGGTCATTTCCCTGCAGTGTGGGAGGGGGGAGGCAGTGGGGGTCATTTCTCTGCAGTGTGGGGGAGGGGGAGGCAGTGGGGGTCGTTTCCCTGCAGTGTGGGGGAGGGGAGGCAGTGGGGGTCATTTCCCTGTAGTGTGGGGGAGGGGAGGCAGTGGGGGTCATTTCCCTGCAGTGTGGGGGAGGGGAGGCAGTAGGGGTCATTTCCCTGCCGTGTGGGGGAGGGGAGGCAGTGGGGGTCATCTCCATGCAGTGTGGGGGAGGGGAGGCAGTGGGGGTCATCTCCATGCAGTGTGGGGGAGGGGAAGCAGTGGGGGTCATGTCCCTGCCGTGTGGGGGAGGGGAGGCAGTGGGGGTCATGTCCCTGCCGTGTCGGGGAGGGGAGGAGGAAGCAGAGCGATGCTCGCCCCACCTCTTCCCGGTTGAGGTCCTGCTCCTGGGACTCGGCGCCCCGCCTCTGGGAAGGGCCAAGCCAGGGGCTTCACAAGTTACGTGAGAACCGTGGCGCCCCGGTCCAGCGAGGCCTGGGGTTCAGAAGGGGTGAAGGCTCCTCCGGCTTCCCCGTGGTCTTCCTCGCGGTCTTCCTGTGTCTGCTCCCGCCCCCTCCCCACCCCTCCCTGCCCCCTCCCCGCCCCTCCCTGCCCCCTCCCCGCCCCTCCCTGCCCCCTCCCCGCCTCTCCCTGCCCCCTCCCCGCCCCTCCCCGCCCCCTCCCCGCCCCTCCCCCTCTACGCCCCTCTACGCCCCCTCCCTGCCCCTCCCCGTCCCCTCCCCTCCCCTTCCCGCCCCTTCCCGCCCCCTCCTCGCCCCTCCCACTCCCCAACCCCCGCCCCGTGCAGGCCACTGGGGCCGAGGCCAGAAGCCAGGGGTGAGGCCGGCGGGGGGCGGACGGCGGGGGACTCTGTGAGCAGCGGACGCGGCAGCTGCAGAGCCCAGTGCGCGGGGTGGTGGGGGGCAGGAGAGACCCCCTCAGAGGCCCCACGCGTGGCCTGGGGAGAGCCGTGTGGGCTTGAGGCTTTCACTGAATGGCGGCCCCATGTGATCCGCCCGCACCCATCTAGACCTCCAGGACCCTGGGGTGGGCCTCTCTGTCCTCCCACCCCTGACTCCCACTTGAGGCCCTGGACCCCCGGCTCTGTGGGACCCCTGCCCTCCCACCTGGGGCCTCCCCGACTGTTAACATTGTCTGCTGGGTGCTGTGCGGGTGCTGGGAGCACAGTCGTTACGCAGGAACAGATGAAGCTCTCATCACCGCCCCTCCGAGTACACAGTTGAATACGGGGGTAGATGGATAAAATACAGACTGATTGTAAAATACAGATCGCGGGGGCGGTGGAGGTGCCTGGGCTTCCGTGCAGGAGGTTATGATTCA